TTTGGGCACAGTTTAAAGATTGCTTTTGTATCTCTACATGGGCCAACTTGGGGACCAGAAGCATACTAGCCAGGGCAGAATGGCGTTTACAGATGGCTGATTTAAATTAATATGTAGGTGGACATGTGCTCCACACATACATGCTGTTTGGTTGTGCCACTTGCATCTGCAAATAAATTAGGTACCAAAAGTTGAAACTTAATTTGGAGTGTAGCTGAAACCACTTAAAAATGTGATTATTTTTTTTTAAATTGTATAATTCAAAGCATGACCTAAGATGATGCATCAAGACCTCTGTCTCTCTCTCTTTTATCAGTGTCCTAGTATTTTAAACTGTTATACAGCACTAGCGATTCATGCTGGCAGTGTTTCCTCTGAAATATTTGGGAAGGCAGAAAGCTGGGAGAATGCAGCCAGAAGCATGCAAAACCCCATGTTCATTTGTGACTGAGAGCTTTTTGGATGCATTCAGTACATTTTTAATAACTAGCTCATTGGCAGGACTTCCAGAAATTATTGGTCTGCTGCAGCAATAAACAGAGCGCTAATTCCTTTCCATTGAGTTTGCTGTTGATTTTGTTTTTGCTGCTTGCTTCGCTTAGAGCAGCATTAGGAGCCAGTATCTTTAATAACTGAGAGCCAATCTGCTTTTGTAGCTCTTCTTAAATGTTTTTTGTATTGACCCGCTTATATAAAATGTTAGACACAGTGTAATGGAGTTTACCATTAGGAAATCAGCCTGTTGTTCATTTCAGATTTCCTTTTGGTTTAATTTAATCTGATTTCTCTTGAATTTCCTCTTTTATGCCAACCAAACAATTCCTTTCCTTTCTTGGTGGTTTACAACCTACATATACAGGGAGACAGTTATCATATCCCCTCTTAGTCATAATTTGGACAACTCATACATATTAGGTCTTTTAATCTTTTCTCATAAACCAATCCCTCCAGGCACTTTATCATTTTTATTGCTCTTCCCTGAATTCCCTCCAGTTTGAAACTTCCCCGTTGTTAGAGAGATGGCCAGGATGGAACAGAATACTAAAACATTATAGACTCACTAGAAATCACACTTAAATAAATGGTTACTTTTTTGGTTAATGATACTCCATCTCCTTTAATCCCATTTGGCTTATTTTTGCTGCCATCTCACAAAGCGACCTCAGATTAATTACTGCGTCTGCTATCTGTCTTAACTTTTTATGTATAAATGTGCTTGGGCTCTTTTTTTTTTTTCCTTGAGATGCATTAACTTGCGTCTTTGGAGAGGAGTCTTTTCTTTGATTATTTCTCGCCAGTAGTTGGGTTTTTTTTTTATTCCTTTCTCTTGTGTTTATAATGTTTCTCATTCATCTGCAAGTGTAATCCATGTTGTCTTTGCCTCTTCTTTAGGGTTATTAATGAAGACACACTAAGTCTCGGCTAAACTCCAGTTTCTTTGCAGCCTCTTACTAGAGTATCTCGCTCCCGCCCCCCATGTTGCATGTTGACATTTACCCTTACCCTCTGTTTATGATACTTCAACCAGTGTTGAGATCACAGACAAGTGCTTCTATCCAGGCCAGTTGCAATTAATCTTCCAAGCAAGCTTTCACAAGGCTATCAAATGCTTCACTGAAATCCAGATAGATTTGCCCAGACCTCCTGGCATGATTTGTCTGCCGTACACTGCACTGCTGGCCAATTAAAGCCAGCTGAGCTGGCCACAGCAGAGAGTCAATAAGGTAGTTTAGAGGGATCCTTCTGGTGGCCTAATGCCATTGTCCTGATTTTCTATACAACCATTTCTCCCATTGGTGTGACACGCAGGGGTGCACGCGGGTGCATGTGCACCTCCTGAGATTGATTCATAGATTCATCATTAGCGATGTCGTCCCCTCCCACCCCAAGAGAAGCACCGGGTTTGCCGCTGGTGGTGGTGATCAGCCATTGGGGAGCCCCCCTGGTCGGGGATCAGCCGCTGGTGCCGCAGTAGTCGCCCATGGTTTCTCCTTGCTTGCAAAACCGACTTGAACTTCAGCTGCCATATTTTTACCCATTGTTTCAGGGATGTATTTGGTAGCCTGTTGGTCTGAAACAAAAAGAAATACAAAACTTTAGATTTTTTTTTTTTTGTCTACTACAAGGTGTCATCTCTGAACCAAGAGATCTAGAGTTTTGCATATTCTTCCATTGGAGATCGGGCAGCTGGGGTAATAGAGAGCAGTGGTGGGCTCCTCTCTGAGATGCCTCCCTGGCATATGAAGGGGTCTCAAAGTGAAAGAAGAGGAAGGTCAAGGCTTAGAGGTATGATGTGGTTGCTGTCTCATCATCCAACATGTTCATAATTTGTAACTTCATTCAAAAGACAATCCAAGTCAAATTGTTCTATATAACCCCAGGCTCATGCTTCAGGTCTTCCGTCTGTACTCAGTTTTTTATTCTCCCTTTCTCCGTGTTAGATTTACAGTGCATCTGCTGTGTGTAGCACAGCAATAGCATGGGTATGAATGAAACACCTCTACGATTTTCTCTCCCTGCTCAAATGATTGAAGAAGGATAGAAAAAAGAATCCCTTTATTTCTAGAAGTAAATTCCAACTGTTCTTGCATCTGAAAATGTCCGATTTACATCATCTACAGTTTTGGCTTTTTGAGCTAGCAATCACAAGCAAAAGAAATTAATTTCCTTCAAAGAACTGTGATATTCACACATGTGATGTTAATTCTCATTGGGCCAAAACACGAATAGCAATAAATGCCGTTTCCACTTTGTTTATTTTTTCCCAGGCCACAAAACAGCCATCGAGTATGAAACTTAAATGGACTGCATAAAAAAAAAATGCATGTTTTCATAATAAGTTAGCAATGCTGTTTCATAAATAACAGCATGGGGAGCAACAGATGCAGACTTTACCAAAAATAAAAATACAAAGCCACATTCGGTTTTAATCTGTTTTTTTATTAAACATTTTATGGTGGTGTTTGATAAGTGAAAAAAGTCTCTTGCGTTTAGTGGTTCTGAAAGTCCTGTTGATGGAGCTCAACAGAGAGCTGCAAAAAAGAAATCCCTTTTCTATCCCTGCTTGTTCTTGCTCTGGCTTTGCTCAAATCGCCTCTCAGCCTCTACTTCCGTGTCTGTAAAATGGGGAGAATATTTATTTCTTACTCATGCTGGTGTTTTGAGGATCAGTTAGTTTGCAGGGTTCTTTGGAGATTCAGAAAACTTGGTGGACCTGAAGTCTGAGCTTTTCTTAGATCTCTCTATATTGATGAGGCAAAACTCACTGGTACACTGCAGCTGCTTTGTGCCAAATTGGAGGTATAGACCACCATAAATCTGACTCAGTTGGCCACCTGCCATGTTATCAAGGAGCTGGACTGGGCCCATAAATCTCACCCATGTTTTGTAGGTATTTGCATTCCTATAGAGGCCATCAGCAGAGGCGTCTGAGTGCCTTACACTATTAAAGAAAGGTCAGGTTACCCCAAGGTACTTTCTGATGGAGGCAGATTCACAGGATCAAGGAAAATCATAGATTCCTTCAGCATTGGATTTTCCTCCTACAGTCAGAAGAGGACACTGGGATCCCTAAACTGCAGTGTGATGGACAGCAGCAAGAGACTTGATCCCTGATGTCATTGTCCCGTTACCCTACTTGCAGCTTTGAAATGAGACCTGTTTTAAAAAGAGCAGTGCGTTTAATTAGCAACCCATGCAGAATCAGGAGCCGTCTGCACAGTTCAGCTCTGTTTGGGAGATGGGCCAGCTCCTGATGCATTATGTAAGTGCTGAGCACTTGGACCGCTGGACTGGTCATGATAGAGAATAAGTTTTCAAAAGCTTATTGGAGCTGGGAGGGTGGCAGAAAACTCTTTACTTTCTAACAAATGATTCTTTCAAAACATTAAGATCTCACTGTGTTTAGAGACAATATTGCATTCTTGCTCACAGTTTGAGCTATTTTTATTGTGGGCTTATTATGGCCTGTAGCAGGGCACTAAGGTGCCTGCTACTTGAAAAGCAGCAGTATGGGTTCAGGTGCTGTTGCTAGGGGCAACCAGGAGGAGCTAAGGACCCACACCTGGTGAGTCAGCTGACCAGAAGGGGCAGGGCTGACTACTATAAGACACAGACTGGAGGCTGCAAGTGCTCTCTTAACTGGTAGCTAAAAAGGAGGAGTACTGCTTGACTAAGGAAAAGAGCTTGGCCCTGATTGTGGGAAAGGGAAAAGGCCTGGATGTACAAGCCACTAGTTACACCGGTGAGAGAGGTGGTGTGGTTTGGAGAACGATTAGCCAGGAGGCTTAGATTTGTGTTATAGCCGATTGGCTTGTGTTATTGCTTTGGTTGTTGTTGTTACACCAGAGGACTGGGTGAGGCTATTAGGGGTTGGAGGAGGCCTCATAGGGGCTCCACGGTATCGTGGGGACCCCGGTTCCAGACAGGGCACAACATTCAGGGGTGCATTGACCCCAGCTCTGAGAAGGGGAGCAGAGGATTGGGGGGGGGGCAGGTAAGGCCGAGGCTGCCTGAGCCCTACAGGAGGCTTAAGACCTGAGGAGCAGATGGGGGGGGGGGTAGTCAGGCATGGCTACAGCCATCTGAGCCCCAAGGCCCCAGGGCAGGCGGCGCGAGAAGCCCCAGGGCGGGGACAGAGATTGATGAGTGCCAGGGATCACAGTAGCAAGGCAAGCCAGAAGCGCTGGTGGGGCTCAGGAGAGTGAATTTGACCAAACAACATCCAATACATCTGCGAGGCTTGGGGCGTGGTACAGGGATGGTTGGAGCCACGCATAGCCCATAAGGCTGGGATGCCCAGAACTCCATTATAGAACTGAGCCACAGGGGGAACCAGGAGAACCGTTGCCAAGGGAATGAAGGGCAGCCTCCCTACATAACTACAGAACATCAAAGACGTGGCAGGCGAGATTGTGAGGGTGCTTTACACCGACTTGGCAAGGTAGGGGGCACTAGGGGAGATCACGGCCACCCTTAGGACCCCACACTGTTACATGGCCTGAAGGGCTAATGAGGTAAAGGACCAGAATGGGGACACAATCCAGTGAGTGGCTTGATGTCCATTAAAGAAATGCCTACTCTACGACTGAATATAACCTATAGCCAGCCACCTTTTGACTTGCGGAGATAGGGAGCAAGATGTGAAAAACAAGGTCTATTTTATTGCATAATAGTGTGTAAAGGTGTGTGTAGGGCACTAAATAAGAGCCCAAGCCTTCATTACATGAGCTCTGGCGTACTGATAGGCCGTGACGATAGGATATGCATAAGGGATATGACTCTCAGTGGAAACCAGGCTTGTATCGTGCCATCTGCCATTCTCCATTGACTTTGAGAAGCTGAGAATTGAGAGTTTGGGCAGTGGGCTTCAAATGACATCAAAATAAACGGTGCATTTCACACCTAGGTAAATGAACACACTCCCCTTTGTAAGGGAAAAGAGTAGAATAAAAACCTATGTACAAGTGAACTTATTCATCTGGAAAGTGTAGTCCCTCTTTCAGAGAAACCTTTCTACCTGACTCGATCCAATTTCTGTATCCTAAATCCAAAGGTTTCCAAGACTAGTTTGTAAACGGGACTCTGGTTGGTTGTGAAATCTTTCTTAATTTATTAAAGATTGAAACCAGTGAGAGGTCTCCATCTTTTAGGACCAGGCTCTTAGGGAATTGGACTTTTCGTATTCCAATGTTTTGCAGCATTTAGTTGCACTGGGAATAGATCTGGGGCCATTTGTCCTTCCATGTCTTCCCCCTGTGCAATAAAATTCACAGAGATAATGCTAAAGAGCCTGCAAGGATGGAGGCTCTTCCAGCATCTTGTCAAACAAAAAGAAGTATGTTGTGAATGTGAAATCCCAAGCTCGGGCCTTCTACATATGGTTCAACTGAGTTCATTTGATTTTTAAATCTTCTTCCCATCTTACTTCCACTGCACTTGTCTGCTTCACTTACCTGCCACATCCTAATTATCCCAGTAATTTGTCTTGTCTGATTCAGAGACTCTCTTTGTTACATATCTGTCCAGCAGCCCAGGGCCTTGATCCTCAGCAAGGATTAGAGAAGTGGTGCTGTAATCATAATGATAGCAGAGAAGCACATTTCTGTGAATTAAAGATTTTTGCAGTGAAAACCTTGCCAGGGGCTGGGGGGGGAGGAGAGGTGGGAGGGATATGGGACCTAAGAGGTGTTTCACTCACCCTGCAAATAGGTAAAGCTACTTTGCTCTTGGGAATAATATATTAAACTATGAAGCTGACTTTTCCCAAATAAAGTGTAATGAGTTAAAGGGAAGAGAGGCAGGAATGAGTGCCTCTGGTTGTATGTTGGTCTAATAAGAGATTAACCCAAGGGACCTAGTCTGATTGTATGTAGGGTTTTTGGTTGTAGCTGGGTTGGTCTAAGGACAAAGGCAGGCAAGCTTCTTTGGGTAGATGTGATATCTTTTATTAAACCAACTGAGTAGTTGGCAAAAAAGGTCTTTGCACACTTTCGGGCACAAGGCCCCTTCTTCAGGCATAGGGAGTCTCTGCTGTTTTGAGATCTCCAAGGAATAAACAAGTTAAGTGTGACAGGTTGTATGTGTGTGCTAGGCATGTTAATGCCCTGTTGGATACAAGGGCTTGTACACCCACTGAACAGTTATTGAGAGGGGCGACTCTTGAGCCAGAGAGAGGTGTTTTACTTAGGTGAAAACTAATTAAGATAAAACGGACTTATGATTCACTGGAGTGGAGGTTGCAAAATGCACCCTGAGGCTAGTACAACCTTCTACATCAGAGGCAGGGATTAACCACAAAGGGTAGCAGGTCAATACGCACACTAGAGCCATGGAGATATTACTGAGAGCTATTTCAGATAGCCAGGCAGATTCTCTAGCAAGCACCCCATCAGGAGCAGCTGGGTTGGGTTATGCCAGCTAAAATCAGGAGAAGCTGGCCTGAAACTAGTCCAGTCTCTTGTATTTCACCTCTTATAAATTAAGACTTAATGGCTACATTTTTAAGGAGCTTCTAAGTTGCATTGTGTGAGCAGCTCTGATGACTCTACCCATGCTATCACTTGGGTTTAAGCTAGTATTTGCATAATCAAGATGCACAGGTTTGCACTCACTGGCTGGCAGAGGTGAGAAGCCTAGCAGCACCCACAAAGAGTATGTGTATGTTCATGTGCAAATAAATGCTCCTACAAACACTTCACAGCCCCATTGGAAATGGGACTCCGAAGATGAGACTAAAATATTTCCCCCCTTTATAACAGAGTGGGTCGATCTGTAATGTATTCCTTTAAATGGAGGGCTCAGCCTTTTTCCATATGAGGATTTGACTTGCATTTGATTTGGGGCCACCCTACTCTTCTAGCTAGTATTTAGCAATATAGGAGGGGACAGTGAGGAGTGTAGGGGGAGCGGTGGTCACTAGGCAGGCTGATAACCCATACTCTATATTTGAATTTCATCATGCCTCAGACACCTCTCCAAACAGAAAAAAACAGGGTATAGACTAATGTGGCTAGTACCTACCTCTCTCCAAAGGGAAAGAAGTACTTGCTGCATCCTGAGCTTATTAGGCTTGTTTGATGCTGATCAACCATCTCAAGAATATATTCTCTGTAGGAAAACCAATTAGAAGCTCCTTTGTACCAGTTGTCTGAAAACACATGCAAAAATGCAGTTCCTGTGCCCAACTGGTTTTCAAGCCTCAGCATATGAAAAGAAACACACTCAAGGAAAGACTGAAGAAATAACTTACATTTATTTTCCTCATCCTTTCAATACAAAAAATATCCAACCTCCATCTCCACCAATAATATCAAATCAAACCAAAAAAATGTAGAGATCATGGAGAAAGACAGGGGAAAGAAATAGTTTCTGCAGTGCTATGATTATTAATGCAAAGTAGTGATCGCTCAACTCTTACTTATAAATTGAAGGGTATTTTAAGAATATTCAGCCCATAGGAATTTGCTCAGTACGGTGTGGGACTCACCCCAAAATGAACAAAAATTTTATTTAACTACTTAAAAAAAATCTATTCTGATGTTGGGCTAAAAATGTAATTGTACTGTTACCGTCCATAAGCATCCTTTGATTTAAAAGTACAACAAAATATAATACAGCCCACAAAACCAGTCGTTAAATATTAATTGCACAGGAAAAGATAACATTTTAACATAAAAAGTCTATATTTACAGTTCAAGCAACTGTATCAGTATATTTCCTACTTTATAAACAGATAAGATGCATGTTAAAAAGATAAACTCTAATCTTGCAGACTGTACTCTCCTAATCCAAATCCCATTATAGTCAATACCAAGATGTATTAATTTTGATTAAATTTGGATCGGCTCATGTTTGGAAAACTCCTACTAAAATTAATGGGATTTCTACAGAGACACGATAAGAACAATTGTGTATTCCAAGCTGTCATTTCATGTTTCCCTGTTCTACTTCATTTAAATATTTCAGTTGAATGCATCCACATTCATATTTAAATTAAAACATCAAAATACCTATCTGGACATACTATACAATGTAACTGTTTTATTGGTGTAGCCTTGTATATCAGGGATGGAAAACACAGGATCTGCCAGTGAACTGAATGGAAAAAAATGGGAGGAGAATCAGCCATAATATAATACA